CGACCTGCTTCCAAAAATTAGTTTACGTGATGCCGCAGCTCGTTTAAACGTTTCTCGTTGCACATTAAATAGAATTTTAAAAAACCGTTGGAATATTGAACGTGCAATAATGGACAATGAAAGTGATAGTCAGAAAAGAAAAAGAGCTGGAAAAGAAGAAGTTGTAGACAAAGCGTTAAAGGAATGGTTCTTACAAGTAAAGAAAAAAGATGCCTATATTAATGGTCCACTTTTACGCCAAAAAGCAGAAGACCTGGCAAAGAAAATGGGGAAAGACGATTTTGTTGCGACGGAAGGATGGTTTCAACGTTGGAAGAAAAGGGAGAACATCAGCTTCATTAAAACACACGGAGAGCAAGGGGAAGCCGATTTTAGTGCGGCACAATCGTGGTTTAAAACTCATTGGACCGATTTGCTATCCCAGTACTCCCCCTTTGATATTTTCAATGCCGACGAGACTGAGCTTTATTTTAGAGCTCTACCCGAAAACACATACGCACTCAAACTTGACAAAGCCAAAGGGGGAAAAACGAAAATTGATGGTAATAGGTAAGAGTCAGAACCCACAGTGTTTTAAGAGAGTGAAAACATTACCAGTAAATTACAAGGCAAACAAAAACGCTTGGATGACTGCAGCAATTTTCATAGATTGGCTGATCAATTGGAATAAAGAGCTCAATCGGAACATTTTATTACTCATTGATAATTGTCCAGCTCATATCATTGACTGCATAAAGTTAATACACATAAAAGTTATTTTCTTACCAGCAAATACTACTTCAATCATTCAACCATGCAACCAAGGTATCATACGCACCTTCAAAGCTTATTACAGATCAGCAATAAGGGGAAAAGTTCTCGCAGTGATTGATAATGGTCTACACGATGCATCTTGTTCCTTCCAAGCTAACGGTATAGCAAAAAAAAAATAACCATTCTTGATGCTATTCATCTAGCAAAAGAAGCATGGAATTAAGTAAGTATGGAGACAATTCGAAATTGTTTTCGTCACGGTGGATTCAAAACAGACGACGAACACGAACATAGTTTGCTTGAAAAACCAGTCGATCTCTCGGATGAAGTTTATGGCGATTGGGTTGATGTGGACTCACACCTCGATGTGACAGAGATTCAAACAGAAGAAGAGATTTGTAATGCGGTAATGAATCCTCAAACAATTGAACGGGCCAATACTGACGATGAAGAAGAAAACAGCGAGACACCCCTAGCATCGCCATCAAACAAGGAAATTGTAGAAGCTTTAAGTGTCCTCAGGAGAGCTGTTCAGCACCGTGCGGATGAAATAGGTTTTGAGCGGCATTATTCATATGAAAATATGATTATGGAATTACTTGACGCAAAAAAACAAACTTCGATCGATAAATATTTTAAATAATATAGTAAGATAAATATTTTAAATACGAAAATCGTAATATACATATACATACATAGTTAAATAAATACATACGTAAATACATTTTCCGCATATTTTTCATTTTTTTTTTCATAGTATAAATCTAACAAATCGCTTATTAGAAACAATCAGTTAATTGACACATTTCACTTTGGTCCCAAAGTGTTTCTAATAAGCGGCTTCTACTGTATTTCTGTAAATACCATAAAACATTAAAAATAGATTTAAAGTATCTATAATCAAATAATTTTTTTAAATAAATCAAACATTTTATAATAATATAAAATGTATAAAAATTTAAGTTCCCATGAATAATGTTTTTAAATTGTAACAAAATAATTAACATAAGTATCATTGTTTATCGTTTAAATAATAATTAATTTTGTTCAAATTGAAACTTAAAATGTCTATAAAAAATAATTGCCATTATATATTTTTTATATTTTATAGTTCTAGTATGAACTATTTATATTGGATTTTCAAGCATTTTTACCTAATGAATAATCTTTAATTAATATTTCTAGAAAAAAAAACTAAAACAAATTGAAAAATTCTCATGCCTATAAATAGATCAAACATAGTTGTAACATTTGATATCCTAAATAAAAGACGATAATATAAACATTTGTTGAACATTTTAAATGTCTATATAGTTATACCAAAAAAACAAATCAATTGGCTTTACGAAAAAATTCCTCTTTTTCCTTAATTAATTTTTTATTTTTCCAGATTATATAATTTACTTTTAGATATTTTATTTTTGACCTCTCAAAGTACCATCTAGATCCAATTTACTTTCAAAAACTACATTCTCCTCATTTTTGAAAATCGAAGCACTTTTGCTGCCCCTAATAATGTTTACAGACACAAAAAAACACACACACACGTCATTGTAATATCATTACATTCATAGCTCTGTTCAGAGTCTAATGGCTTGATATTGATTTATTAACACATATAGGTACTTTTCCCAGTTAGGAAGGAAGGACAAGTATGTTAAGTATTAGTTATGAGAAACTACAGTATAATTACCTATTAGTTTTAATTACTAGTACTGAAATAATACAGTAGGTAATGGTTTATAAAAAAAAATAAATATTTTTAGTAAAAATAGGGTTCAAGTAAGTACTTTAATATTTTACTACAACAATAAGAATTAAAAAATTAAAAATTACAAAAATACAAAAATAAACTCAAATATTATTTACTTAATCAAAGTTTATTTTTTGTTAAATTACTATGTAAATTTAAATCTAACTGCAAATAATTTTTGTAAGCTAAAACATTAATAGCTAAAATTAAATACATAATCTTTATATTTAAAAATATATAATTAAGTGCATACATATTCCATTTTTACTTTAATGTTTGAAAATAAATACTTAATGATCAATCGCTATTTTTGATAAATTAAGTATTATTTTTTTAGACTTCAGAGGTTGATACTTGATACATGAGTACTTGACACACATAGAAAATATAACATAATCACAAAAGTGGCGTATTTAAATTTTTTTTCATGGGGGGATATGACTTTATAAATGAAGATACCATTGAGAATATTGTACAATATATTATAATATTTTAATTATTACAAATTTAATCAATTATTAATAAAAAAAATAATAATAATAATAATAATATTTTTTAAATAATATGATAAATATAATTATTTGTGTGTATACAGCCTATGGGGGGGATTTATCCCTTTGATCCCCCCCCCGTAAATACGCCACTGAATCAAAACAGTAAAAGATTAAAATACTCAACTATAGATTTCAATAACAAGTATTGATTATAAATGCTAGTTTTTATAACTAATAATGATACTGTGTAGATAGATATGCACTACCTATACATATTTAAGAATACCTATATACTTAATTGATTTGACGTGTATCTACTTTAAAATTGTTATTTGTTGTGACTTGCAACTTTTATTGCCGTAATTATTGGTTACTAATTATAATTTATAAGTACCAATGTAAAATATAACGGAAAAAAGGTCAAGAAGGGATCATATAGTATATAAATACCTACTTACTAAGTATGTACTTATACGCAACTGTTATTATAATATAGAAAATATTGTATAAAATACCTTCACAAATCATTGAACGTTTCACAAGTGTTATTCTGAACGAAATTATGGTGAAAACAGCTGTATAATGACAATTATTATTAGAACTAATACTCAAAAATATTGTATTTTCTTACAATTTTTTTCGGATAACTCAAAAATTTAGAATTTTATATGCAATATAACTCTAAATAATTTATAAATTAAATACTGAATACAGTCCAAATTAATGCATGTATTGCATTTGTCGGTAGTCTGATAAGATGTTTAAAAAAATAGCATAAGCACACCAATTATCAACCTTGGGCCCCTTGAGTGTAGTTTATAGCAAATTTAATCTAGTTTGTTTTTATGCTGTGTGTATTACGTGAGTAGGGTAAAATGGTAAAGACTTTATTTTCATTGTGATCACCTTAAAATTTATCTGCACTAAAATAGAAAAACAGTAACATAACTTACTTACGTACGGAACTGGCGTAGGTTAGTTGACTTACGTATAAATAATAATAAAATACGTGGTGTTTTTTGCAAAAATGAGTTCAAAATAACGTATTACTTATATCAAATTAAATGATATGTAGTAAACTACACAATACTAAAACTAGATGAATTTTGTAGGTTCAGAATTATTTATTGTAAATGCAAATAACGATTTATAATTAAATTTAAGTTTAACATGTATAATTTATCCATTATACAGTCAACAATGACTAATTCAATGATAAGGTGTAGTCGAAATTACCTACTAAATGTACCCATACATTGAACTATCTTTCTCGTTTTTTGCATATTATATAGTCATTTTAAAACAATAGTATTAAAAAACAAAAATGCTTAAACATTTTGTAAAATAGACATGTGTATTAATCAAAATAAGTTTTTTTTACTCATTTATCTACGGATATATTATGTTAATAAAAAATATTTACGTATTTTAAATTGTTTAAATTTTTCAAATTACTAAAAATATTATCATTTACAATTATTTTATTTATTATTTTTATAATAGTATACGATTTATATAGGATACGTAATATATATGATATATCCTACATATAATATATATTACACTATGCACATTGATAGATACTTAAGTCTAGTAATAATATTATTATTTAAATAAATTGTTCAAATGAATGGACCTTGATGAATATATTACGAATATAATATATATTCTTGCAACTTATTGATTAGGTACTCGATACATTTTGCGAGCTCAAATAAGCCTATTAATGTTTTTAAACTTCATGTCCTAACCTAACATGAAAAGTTTAATTATAACATAACTATGTTCGGTATTCATTAATCAGCCATTTAACAACTCATTTATTATCATATATTATTCTAAATGGTTTTAATAATACTGTGCGTTAGGGAAATGAAAATATTTTAGTTTTAGGGAATACAGTAATGGGCGGCACTGTTTTTGCCCAAAACGAACCTTTCCCTCTTTAGCCAGTATTCTGAAATGTCCGTTTTCGGCCAGTACACTACTTTGGTTACCAATGAAATATTTTTCACGTTTTTTCTGTTAAACTGCCAATTAACAGACACTTATATTAGTGAAGAAAGCATATTTCCTCCTACTATTTAAGTATTAGGCTGTTCTAACTTAACTAGAACTACAAATACATGCGAATCTTATCATTTTTATTTTAATCAATGTTTTTACAAAGACTCCCCTCCAACTATGTATTAGTTGAATATAATTATATTGTAATGAAATTCAAACAGAGTTATATATAAAAATACGAAGTGCGGATATTTAAAAATTGAATTTTGAAAATTCTCAAAAGATGGAAAAGTTCGGAATCGTCAGGATAAAAACCATACCAATATGATAAAATATGAAAGAGGAAAAATTACAAGAATATAATTTATTTAATGTATGTGCTATAATTATAAAAATAATTAAATATCCCTATAATTTTATAAGTATTGTGTAAATATATAACCTAACTTTTATTTTTATATTTTTTCACTTAATTCGAAGTATAAATTGTAAGTTAATAATATTATAAGATTATTATTAGTAAATTGGCAGTTTAATAGAAAAAAACGTGAAAAATATTTCATTATAGTAACCAAAATAGTGTAGTACTAGCCGAAAACGGACATTTCAGAATGGCCAAAAAGGGAAAGGTTCATTTTGGCCGAAAAGTGTCCCGCCCACAGTTATTGGTGGTGTATTGATGAACATATAATAACTATCAGAATAATTAGAATCGTGTCTCTCAGATATCTAAATATATAGAGTGAGTAGATATCACGTTTTATTATTTAGAGTAACACAAAATATTTTGGTTGTACAATTTTTAATTTAATTTAGAGCTTTTTTTTTACAGTATAAAAAACATAATATTACACTAGTTTTGTGAACGCATGAACAACCATAACATTTTTAAATTGTACGCCCTCCCACTAGGAGTAAGATTTTGAATAATAATATTCTTAAAAATCTTAAAATTTTTTGATTGTAACTCGAAAGTAAGTAAAAAAATCATAAGATCGGTACAAATCACAATAGTACAAGCAAATGTATTGTATAATGTATATGTTTAAAATCTTGTAGGATAATAAAAAAATAATATATGTAATGTAAATAACAATAAAAATGTAATGTTTTTTTCATTATTTTTCGTATTATTTATTGATATTTTTTCATGTTTATAACCTCCGTGTGAATTTGTGTGATTTGTACTGATTCGTAAAATTTTTACTTATCTACTCTCACAACCACTCAATTTTAATTTTTTTTATTATTCTTTCTTCATATCTTTTATAGTCTCACTTAGCAAGATTGTTTACAGAAAAAAACTTTTTTAAAAATTAATGTACCATAAAGCCTTTTACGCAATAAAAGAAAACCTAATCATTCTAAAAGTCATTCGCCCGAAATATTTAGTGTCATCTTAAAATTTAAATTGTGATCACATTTCAGAAGGTATATTACATAATATGTTATGTTTATTCAGCAGTGAAAACTTTCGAAAAATAAATAATATTTTTAAATGCAATAATATTAACAATGTATATGATGATCCTTTCATATTGTTTATTATTTTATACAATGGTCCACCAATTACCATGTTATGCTGCTTGCCCACTGGCCTCTTTTTTTTTTTAATTTGAATATGAGTTTAATATGATGTGTTCATTAAAATATAAAATGTTTTACCGCTAAACGATTTGCAATTAATATTTAACACTTTTCCCGTATTTCACCGAAACAAAATATTCACATTGTTCACAACTATTATCATAATATTATTTTCATATTAAAATACGTTATTGCAAACAATATCAAAACGTGAAACAATATTATATCCGTGCGTTAAATCCTATCGCACTTTAATAGATTTATTCAATTATAATATTATTATTGTTATTATTTTTGCGTTTATAGTGTTTATACCTATATACACAATATTATTGTAATATTGCTGTACAATATAATAGGCTAAACTCAAAATACCGTACTATAAACAATTTGATAATATAAACTTTGTTTCCTACATCGCCTACTACCATTAACGTACGCAGATATACTACGGTGAAGCTTGTGTGTTATGATAACTAATCAATTATTGGATGAGTAAACCGAGAGGGTGCGGTGACGGGTATTGGAGATAATATATTAATATATTATGCTCACAAGAGATACACACACACACGATATATATATAAATAAGCATATATATAATGTATGGAGAACAACATATAATAAGACATAAATTGCCGACCAAAAAGTCAACTGAAACGCGACATTTGCGAGAATGACTAAAAGTGTTGCCTATATAATATACTCACCTAATTGCCCATTATATATATTTATTAATTTATTATGACGTGTATAACGTAAACAAACAATAGTACATGCTACTTAGTAGGTATATATATATATACCATATTTTAATAGCGCCTTCATAATATTTATTAATTTTGATATAAATTGTTATTTTAAGCATATGATATTTATATTAGCTTTCCTCGGGCGCGACGACCACGCCACGATTTAACGACGAAATCGCAGTACCGCGGCAAATCTAATATTTTAAATCGCGTCGAAAAAGGTGTGGTCCCGTTTAGTGAAAAAGAAGAGGAAAAAAAATTAAAATAAAAACCTATTGAAAAATATTGATTCCGGCGCCCGCGAGAGAGAGATACTGCGGCCTTGGCCGGCGTGTCTCTTTGGCGCGCGCACGCGAGACCTCACGACAGCCTATGTGTAATAATGTATATTGTACAATAAAGACAATATTATGGTCTATATAGGTATGCCGTTTTCGCACCAAGCACGGCTATCTGCAGGTCGACAAAACCAATACCACGCGAAGTCCATCTCTCGCACGAAATCGGTCAAGTTCGTTATAAAAATACTGCCGCGCGTGTTTTATAGCGGTGTCACGGCGACGGCGCGACGCGTGCCGTATTATAATATTATATTGTATTCGTATACAATATAGTAGCAGTGTGACTAAATATAATAATATGTGTGATAAATCTCATTGTGTCCGCGAATTTTCGAGGAGGATTTCGCAGGGGCAATACCGGAGAGCACGAAAGCTTTTTTTCGGTAGGCCTTCGGAAACATCACTGAATATAAAGGCCGATCCCTCGTATGTACATAGTATATACCTACGACTTCCGCCCTTCGCGGTCACCCCGCACACTCACTCGAGTAATATTTACTTATATACATATATATATATATATATATATACACGTGTGTGTGTGTGCGTGTGCAAAAGGTCGACATCGTTACATGTGTACATCGTTGTATATAGATAGGTACCTATGTCATACATATGTTGTGTCATCGGTTGGGAGCGGGCGGCGAGGATATATAAAAAATAAATATATACATTATTTCGCGCAAACCGCGCACTATAAAACGGTCGCAATACGCGTGATGCATCCATTGTAAAACCCTGTCAAGGCTACACTCGACCGACGACGGTTGTGGGTGTGTGCAGTACCCACACACATATTATGTATATTGTCACATACATACATATATAATATATATATTTATATATGTTTGTGTGTGTGTATAACGGTATATACATAACGTATATATAATAATACGTTGTGGCATTGACGATATAACCGTCGCGCACTCACACGGTGTAAATAATATACTGTTTATTTTATACGCATTCAAATATACGTATAATGTACATATATGTGCGTGCGTGTGTGTGTGTGTGTGTGTGTGTATAAACGTTAAAATAAAACCGAGACGAACTAGGTTAATCAATAGACGCGCGCGCGCTGTGCGGTGACATCGGGACGACCGCGTTGGCCATCGATGGTCGCACTATACGGCGCGGTGCGTACATCATCGATGGTTGCGCGGCCCGCACACATCGATAGTGGCGCTTGACGCCGCGGCTGAGGGGGTCGAACGCGCTCGCGGCGGCAACGGCAGCGCGCATCACGCCGTTGCGCTAAAAATATACAATCGCGCCGGCGACGAGGCGTTTCGGTATACCGCGCACGCACATCGATCATTTGCCGCCGCCACCACCGCCGCCGCCGCCGCCGCTGCCACCGCCGTGCTACCGTAAACGCCGTCGACGGCGCGGCCGCCGTTTGCAGTGCAACGACGAGTTGTGTGCATAATAATAATAATAGTAATAATAATAATAATAATAACAGTATCAGTAATAACAGCTATATTATAATCTTTAGACGACGAAAGAGATCCTCATATCGATCCCCGACAGTAACCGCGGAACAAAACCAACCGAATACTTGGAGAAAACCCGCGCTGACGAACGGACATCGGCGCGCCGGACGGGCGATTGGCGGCAGTGCAACAGGAGTCGACGGCGGCGGCGGGAAACGGACATGTTATGCGGCCCGGTAGTCGGGACGACGGTGCAGCAGACGAGTGTTCGTCGCGTTCGTCGTTAATAACGTCATGTACGCGTCATCGTCGGCCGACAAGTACGGCACCGGCAGGACCGCGACCGCCAAGACGTACCATCACCATCACCAGCTGCATCACCTACACCACCGCCACGTCGACACGTCGTCGTCGTCGTCTTCGTCGTCGTCGTACGCGTTGTCGTCCGAGCTGAACGCCGACCGGCGGTCTAGGGCTTACAGCAGCGTGCCGAGACAGGTGACGCCGGTCCGGTCGACCACGTCGTCCCGATTGACGGACATCAACGGTAATATCCGATCGCTGAGCTTGAGCAAGAGCCTGTCGCCGGCGTCGTCATTAGGTTCTTCCCGAGGAGAAATCAGCGGAAAGACCACCGGTGCAGCCACTCTGCTGCAGCTAGGCAACGACAATAAACGGTATGATGCAACGAAAAAACGTTTGGACGCGTTCTACAACAGCAGATCGCCGTCGTCGTTGCTGAACAAATCGTACAATTACAAGGCCGGCAACTTGTCGTACTTTGAAAAGTACAACAAACAACAGAATCAGCAAGACTCTCCTCCGCCCAACGAACCGCTACAGCAATCCAAATATGTCAACATGAACAGGACAAACTACGGCGCCATCACGGACAACGGTGCACTGCATCCGGAGTCGTCGTCGTCATCAGCGTACAGGTCGGTGGCCGATTCGAAAAAGGGGGTGGTCGGCATCCGGAACATAGGGAATACGTGCTACATGAATTCGGTGCTACAGTGCCTGAGCAACACCAAGAGCCTGACGGACAGCGTACTGGACGACGTTGACGGAGTCGACGGCAAGCTGATCCGGGTGTATCGAGACCTCTTGTCCCGAATTTGGACCACCGCCGACAGCCATCCGGTGGATACCACCGCGTTCAAGTCGGCATTCCAGCGGCTATCGCCGCGGTTTGCTGGCTACGAGCAGCAGGACGCCCAGGAGTTTCTGCGGCTGTTGCTCGACCGACTGCACATGGACGTCAACAGGGTGAAGGTCAAGCCCCGTGCCATGCCGGACGTGGACGAGACGCTCAAGGACAACGCGCTGGCCGCCGAGTTCTGGCAAAGATACCTGGTCACTGACAACAGTACCGTGGTCGACTTGTTCGCCGGTCAACTCAAGTCCACGCTCGAGTGTTCTATATGTGGCCACAAGAGTATCACGTTTGAGGTACGTATACGAGCAACGTATATAATATATATATATGTATGTATATGTAGATATACACTGAGTGTATCAAGGTTGTTAGCTGATGCGCATTATAATATATTATTTTGTATATTCACATATATATATTGTATTTTTGTATTACGTACGACTATAATGTGGCTACGATGTGATGATTAAATTGTAAATTTAAAAAAAATTGACCCCAATCCGAGCGCGCGAGATTAAAAATACGCTGTACGCGCGCACACATTCCTCTGGCAAACGGCCCGAGCCGCCGGCGCCAAGTTACGTAACGCTATAACGTATGATATAGCCTTTTTTTAAAAAATATTTTTCTCCTCTCCTGATTTATTATGCAGCGTTTCAGGCGTAATTGAGAAGCCTCCATCCTCACCCCCAAAATGCATTTCTATTCAGCCCTGTCGCAAAGGAATGTTTTATTAAAAAAATCAGGAGAATCTATTACATATTGTACTAAAAACCGTTCTTGTATGTTTACCGTGTACAGGTGTTTTGGGACGTGTCGTTGCCATTGCCGTCCAGCGGCTCGGCTAACATAGTGTCCATTAACGACCTGCTGCACAACTTCACGCAGGAAGAGGTGTTGGACTTCCGTGAACGTCCCCGGTGCAGCGTTTGCAAGGTAGACAGGAAGATGTTCAAATCGTACCGGTTTCAACGATTACCCAGATACTTGGTGCTGCACCTCAAGCGTTTCCAGGGTACGCAATCGTACAAGAAGATTACGTCGCTAGTGGCGTTCCCGTCCATGTCACTGGACATGAGCCCGTACGTGTCCAGCACGGCTCGGAGCATACAGCCTCACGGTTGCAAGTATAACCTGTACGCAGTGTCCAATCACACGGGTACGCCGATCGCCGGACACTACACGGCTATGTGCAAGCACCCGGTCACCGGTGACTGGAACTTCTTCAATGACAGTTCCGTCTCCCGGATCACATCGTCCGCGAAACTCATAAGCAATGAGGCGTATATACTGTTTTACGAGGCCGCGAATTATTAGTTAGCCGATGAAATCAGGTTTATAAATTGTTCTTTTTATTTAATTTTTTTTTTCTGATATCCGTCCATGGATCGAGGCTTGATGACATGAAACTATGCATATACCTATTATGTATATCAATGTACTTACCTATATCATACTATTATATATCTACCTAACTTTTTGTCGCGAAAGCCTTTTTAATTTTGTACGAAACTTTGCTATACTTCTATACCGTATACACTATACTTGCATATATAAGTTAGAGTACAATACTTAACATTTATTTTTTACCTACGCGTAATTGATGGCAGCAGTACTGAAGTGTATGACTTGTAAAATATATCAGAGAATGTGGTAGGGGGAGGGGGTCACGAGAGGGGAAAGGTTTACTAAGATTTCAATATATAATGGGTACCTATGTGTATTTAGATAAAGCCAATAGTCATATAAGTTATATAGGTAAAATATTAAATAGGTATACCTACTATGTTCAACACACATTTTATGATCATGTTAAAATATAATGTTAAGTTTAATCTGCAGATACATTATATTTATAAATTATAATATATTCTATAATAATATATTCAATGGCATACATTCAATTTTTTTATGGGGGGAGGAGATTAAATTATATACATAATATGTTTATCGGAGTCCTTCGCCCAACGCAATAAGTTTTATCAAAGACCATGTTAAAATATTCAAAGTTCACACATCATATTTTTAATAAAACTTTAATTAAAAAATTGAAAACAAATTATACAAAATAATTTAAAAAAATAGACATATTGAGTATTTTATATTATTCTATCGCAATAAAAATTTTAAACACAACATATTTTGTTTGATAATTCAACAAAAACTTTGTTTACAGCTGATATTGGGTATTGGATAATTATAATTTATGGATTGCATGGCTAAGCCTTTAAGTATTCCCTGTTTAAAAAATGTAAGTTTTGCACAAATCAAATCATAAACTGTGCTTAACTTTTAGATTGTAGTACGGTAAAATATCACGACAGTTGGCATTCGAGTTTATTTACGTTTATAGAAATAAACAATAAATAAGGAATTAAATTATAAATTAGAATAACTCGTATTTCGATGCCGGTACGCTAATACAAAAATAGAAACACCTACAGGCCTCAACACAAAGACAGTTCACTAATAATAGTTAACAATGTTTAATACCTACAAAACATAGTTTTTGTGTCAATTATAAATATTTATTTTTTATACTCTTTGGCTATTCAAAACTATTTTATTTTTATTTTTTTGTTTTTGAGGGGGGATCAAAACTTCATTCTCCATTGGTACGTCATTGAATATATTAGTATTTAGTACATTATAATACATAAAAGTGTACTTGTGGATACAGACTACATAATATAGTACATACTTGATACTAGTATTTATAATTAATGATACTACCTACATAATAATTATTAACGTAGGTATTATAATATTATCAGGGTATGGCAAAGATAAAATGTGTGACGTTTATGTTTTATGAACCACTAACTAATTTCGATCAAATATAATGTTCATTGTTGCAATTCTAGAATCAAATTGCTGTAAGAGATTTTTGGCATGGTAGAAAGGGGCATTAGTCCCTAACAAAAAAAAAAAAAAAAACAAGTGATGGAATAATAAAATGTATTCAAAAATTGTTCAGCAATTATTTTAAACTGTAAATAATTTTTTTTTTTTTAGAGGGGTAAAAGGCAGCTCTCTTAATTGTACTAATATTGTTATGATTTTGCGAGAGTCATAATAATATTCGTTCGATTTGATTCATACTTGAGCTCAGTTAGTTATATATCAATTCAATTTAATAATATAATATACTAGTTAATATCGGTAATACAATGGAACAAAAAACATTAATTTGTTACCAATGATTGATTGATAGATATGATATAATAAAGGAATGGGCAACTCAGTTACTAGAGGGACAATTTTTATAATTTTAAAATCGAGCGGTCCAGAAAGTGTAGAAAGTTAAAAAAAAAAAGATCTATAAAATTTGAAATTTATAATTGACATTTTCTTTTTGTATTTATTTATTTATATTTACATATTTTAATGTTGAAAAAACATATTAAAATAAAATATAAAATAAATGCTAAAATTGAATAAAATATTTTGAAAATATAAGGTGGCATGAGTCAGATAAAAAAAGTATATGGACCAAATGTAACCTGCTGGCTGCCAGTTGTCCATCCTTTATATAATGTATCATATTAACAATAATCAAAATTGAATTTTCTAATGACGAATTATAAGGAAATAAAATTGTTAATCAGACATTTTTAAATCTTTACAAATTGATCATTAGAAATTGTTAACTTTTTTTTGTAAGATTCGTTTTGTAGGTATAATAAAAAATATTTTAAGCTGATATTATTTTAATAGCATCAAAAGACATATTTGTCATTTATTTAAAAATCTTTTACTGTACATCCTACTTTAACCTGACATTTTATACTATTATAAAAAATGTTCAAGTATTCAACAAATATTTATTTTTCTTCTTTTTCACTTTCACCTTTTCAAAAAATACATTAAAGAACAATATTAATAAAGTCTATAAAATGGGATAAGCTAAAAATTAAATATAACTACTTTTAAAAACAGTATTTTTATTTTTATCCATAAGTCATTATTTATTTATATGTTTTCTTGTAATCTTGTGTACTTAATTTTAAATTAACAACAAATTTAATTTTGTTCTGCTTGAATAAAATGATTAATATTATTGGCAACTTAAAAGAAATATCTGTTAAATTTTATGTAAGGTTACTTTAGTTTAAATGAATACTATACCTATATTATATTGACAGTTTAATTTATACAATTTTATCAAAAGTTAACTTTGTTTTGCACTAATTAAAAGTTTTACCTACAATATATGTAAAAAGTTAAAAATTTTAATGGAGACTTAATACTTTTATCATATTATTAGTGTTTATTATTGTGTATATATGATTTATAAACATTTGTTATTTTTCTTGTTCCTTAGTAACTTATTAAAACAGTTTATTTATTGTTGATTATTATATTTTATTTATTTACTTATGGAACAAATAAATTTTATTTTTAATCAATATTGTGGTTGAAACCTGAATTATAAATGAGCCTATAAATTATAAAGTGTAAATAAATGATATAATTATCATACTCATTTAACAGTAATAATACAATATTACAAAAATAAATTTAATATATTAACAGCAATACCACAAATGACATAACATTATTATTTATCAGTAAATTTGTCAAAAAACATAATATCATAATATTTTGGTATCAAATTATTGTTTATAAATTTATATTTTCCTCTAATTGTATCAAATATATCTCATTTGTAAATGCGATGATATGTATCTGCATAGTTTTAAATAGCACTCATAAAAAATGATAAAAATATAACAAAGAATAATCGTCATTAGTGTAAAGTAATTTTTTTTTTTTTGAATATCAAGAAATGGTCACGTTACTTTGATAAAAATAAATCAAAATATTTTTAGAATTTAAAAAAATATATTTGAAATTTTTTAGTACAAATTAAAAAATTTTATAAGCTAATTTGATGTTAAGCAAATGCAATATTCATATATTAATTATCATTTTTTAAACCTACATTATAATTAATGAATTATATAAAATATTATCTTATTTAATGAATTTTACATAAGGTCATATTTTGTTGTCATAGGAGCGATTGTGAGTTTGGGATCCATAGCAAGAGGTTTTCGTAATTCCATAGCAGCATGAGATAATTGTAGTGCACAATCTGGATGAGTACCGCTTGGTAAATTGCTGCATTCTATATCCAATAAGTCAGCAATACTGGTTAATAAGTCGTTGAAGCTGTAAGCGATTGCAGCTTTTCGAATTCGATTTAATTCCTAAACAAAAATTTATTGAAAACAAATAAAATGTATTTTAACTTTTACTTTTGAATTACCTTATAAAAACTTGGAATTTTGTCTGGCATTTTTCTTGCTTGTCTTAAAATTTTTTGAATATCTGCTTGAAGACCAGCTTCTTTAATCCATACCAATTGAGACTGGTTGTAACTACGTTTATCAGGAGTCTTAATTGGTTGTGTTTCATCAACATCTGTAACATTAAATAAAACATGAATAATTACAATAATATGTAACAATTAAATAAGATGAAATAATACCTGATTTATGTAATTCTGTAGGTGATAATGTAAGATTTCGAATATCGCCTAACCAAGGAATAGCATTTGTACCAGGTTCAAGAATAATTAACATTAAATTTGATTTTTTTTTATTGTCTGCCCAACTAACTAATAATCCATACCAATTAGAGCTTAGCTGACAAACAGCTGTCATATTTTCTACCTATAAACATTTGTATTCATTATTTTAAATTGGTTAAGATATAAAAATATATACGTTATATAAAGGTATTCACTTTTAAAGCTCCATGTAATAATACACAAAACGAGGGAGTTTTTGCAGATGCTTCATTAGTCTCTGTGGATTCATCTAAAATACGTTGAGGTAAAACAAGATGACGGGATAAAGTTGCTGGGCATTCTACTTTTGAGGACTCTAGAAATCCAATTATATTTAGTTCACTTGAAATGCAACATGTCATTATTTCAAAATCTGCAGCTTTTGTATAAGACTAAGACATTTAAAAACAATTTTTTAATTAAATGACAAACAGGAGAAAATTGTTATATTACCATAGGAGGAGGAATTAAATGAACATCTGACTTTAAATTTCCACATCGTAACACAGCACTATAAGGTACATATGTTTCTTTAGCAATTTTTTCAAATACTTTTGCAACAGATGTAGGAGTTAAAGGTAATTCAGGTGAAGTTATATATCCAAGACCATTTGGAAGTTTGTTTGAGTCATAATTATTTTTGTAAAGTGATGACACTTGATCTAGGGGAACAACTATTAATTTTCCAGGAAATAGAAATGGAGTCATATCTGGTTTCCGGAGACCTTCATAACAGTTACCATCAGTAATCATGATAACCTATAAAATATTATTTTAATATTAAAATTAATGAACTTTAATAAAGTTTCAACTTTCAATTTTAACTTATTACTTGACAGGTTACAGAGTTAGACCATTCACTATGGACTAAATAATTAATAGTTTGTATTACAGGTGGATAACAAGTGTTGGTCCTAAACTCTAACTGAGTAATTTTTGCTTTGATTAAGTCATAATCACGAGTAAATGAACACAATACGTCACAAGTGGAAGAAAATGTAACCTGTAACATATTAAGAAACAAGTAATAAAATAGGTACTCATATTAGTTCTTGATTAGATATAATTTAGAATATTGAGAATATATTTTTACTTATTAAATTGGAATAAAAATTTTAATTTATCAAAAATAAAGTATTGTTTAGGCTAAGGGTTACTTAAATATATACAATTCTAGTTTGTATTGTTCATAAGAACTGATGCAACAATAAAATTATACAATTGTGGCATTAATATAATATTATAAGTTTATAATTTAAATATTGAATTATACTATTAGTAATGGCATTATATTATTATAGCAAATAAAACAGCCTTAGGTAATATTTCTAATCAATATTTTTGGTTCATTTTCATATACCAATAAATACTTACAACAGCAACAAACTCTAATTTGGAATGTACGGCTAAATAGTCCAGAAGAACGTTGACGCCATGTGTGGCCAACTGCAGCAATGTAAAGGACTCTTTGGTATCTTTGATTTTAATATCCCTGAGCATAGACACAGACAGATCGATAGCTATGACGGTGGCCATCGTCTAGGTCGGTCGAGGTCACAATATCTACAAAAGCATACTTAATGTTATCATTATTTTTAGGGTCGCATAAATCTCTCTAGGAATTGCGTTTGACAGTAACAATGCAAAAAGAATATTTTTTTTTGTTTTTAACCAGGTACGTGTTACTAATTTACTTACAAAATAGCTATTATAATGTCATACGGTACAAAGACCAAACCGGACCAACTGTTAAGTACCAACTACTTAGTACTTATTGTACTAGCTAAAGTACAGTAGTTAAAGGCAATAGCTTAATGTCGCTTAAATACCCATTTATTTCAACTTTATAGAACTAATATCATTTTTGATTCTTATCACACACACAATAAAAACAACGATATTGTGTTATCGCATTTTTGCTTTTCACCTTATCATCGGCGGTTCGGTTAAATCAGTCTGTCCGCCGTTCTGTTCGATAGTCATCGGCCCGTGTTCGTGTTGGTAGCCCTGCTTGTTTTTGAAACGGCCACGACCGCGCGCACACCGCCACGGCACGGTCAACGCCACCGGGTATAGCAACGCTCCCATGTCATTACCGTTACTACTTTTTTTTTTTACCATGGTCCCACACACCGACACGTTCTTTGGAACGTAAACAAAACTCAAACCAGTCCGAGACACAACTCGTTGTGCGGCTGTTGTTGTCTGCTGTGGTGCGTGTTTCGTGCGTGTGTTGCCCGTATTTACTCTTTCTATTAGTCGGTAAAACTGTTTGGTTTCGGGCCGTTCGTTTTATTTTTAATATTTAAATACGATATCGTGACATTCGCGGTCGTTCCGTTGAGTTTTTCTGTTTTCAAATGTTTAACCGCGCATTTTTAAACTATACACCGTTAATGTTTAATTGTCCACCTGCTGCTGGTCGTTCGGTGGATAAAATACAATAATATTCGTTTGTTCTTGTATTTTTTTTTTTTGTGTGTTTTTGATTGTCATTAAATAATAAGAACTGGAGCGACGCTTGAAGACAATTTCGTGACGGTGAGTTCCCAGTGTTTTGCTTTTTACATCGTAAGCTTATACTCGAATAAACAAGGTTTAATGATCATTTATTAAACAAGTGTTACTGATATATTTACTATTGCTTTTTAATCTCAACGTGATCCACGTTTGTACCTTCCCTCGATTAAGAATTAGTAATTCATTATTCATTAGAGAATATCTGAGTGTAAATACCTAATTGAAACACGTCTTATAACTCGAATAAAAATTACTCTCCGATAAGTAGTTATTTTTATTTCATAATTTTAATTGATATTCGTTTATTGACTATAGTTTTTGGTAAAAGAGTAGGTATAAAATGTACTTTATATTAAGCTAGAGAAGATTATAAAAACATACCTACTTTTAATTAAAATATGAAAAAACTCCTTTAATATTAAATTATATTCTAATAGGTGTAACATGGTATAACATATATTATAATAACTGCATAATAAACATACAGAAAAAGAAATTGATATCTGATATTTGAATGAAGTTTGAGTTAAATTAAATACCCGTTTCGGATAAAATGTATTGTGTGATTTATCAATATCCGTTTCCGATCGAAATATTTACGCTTTAATCAATATTTAGTGTTATTCAAAACTATTAAACCGGAAATAGCTATGTCTTATGGTTGATTAGAGGCACTTATATTAATATTATATTTTAATTATAGATTTATAAGTTAAAAATTGTTTCTAATACCATTTTAATGGATTTATTGCAAGTTTTGTATCATATTATTGCTTTATAAATGTTGATAAGCCTACTGTTAAAACATTTTTGTTGTGTAGTTTACACTTTTTTTTCATTAAATGCTAGTACATTATTCAAACCAAAAATAAATTAACAATATCGGGTAATAGGTGCTAAATGTTTTAAGTTTAAGTTTCGGTTAAAAGAACGCTACACCTATACCTACGTATTGTTTCTACTTTACACACGTGGACCACGGAAAATTGACGTATCATATCTATTAGATTTTTATTTCAATCTATATATAGTTAATATTAAAGCCAATTTACGGTACATCTAATTTGTACAGGGAAAAATAAACTAACCCTAAGCAGGTTTTTTTCTATTATTTATTTTAAAACTCGTTTAAAACAAATCATGTACAATGTACATATTGCATAAAATTGATTACCTAAGTAGGTATTTTTATAATTTTATATGACTTCAAAATAAAATCATGAAAATAACGGCTCAGGCCCATTTTGTGTGTGTAAAGTCGAATTCCTACGGCGTATTTATGTGGGACTTGGTCGGTATAATAGACGCGCTGAGAATAATGACGTTTGTCAAAAATTGCTACATATAGTGGCGTGGGCCATTCGGGCTTGCCTTGGAGGCGATCTTTTAAACACAACTCTAAAGTACCATGCGATATATCATATATCACATTCGTCCTCGTGACGAACCGCAAAACTAGTCGAGCAATTTTGACTCGCCAAGTCACTTGTCGTCGGAACGTCAGGACTCAGCTTGGTATAGTCCCATAACATGGGCCGAGACAACACATACAGGTGTAGCGTTTAATGATTTAAGCAGGTAAGCACATATTATACGAGATGTCATTGAATTATATTACGAAGCCTTCGCTTAGTCAACTATTTAATCATTCATATTATTTTATTTTGATATCAAAATTCAATATGGATAACTACTTACTACTTTTCCCAGCAAACATAAAATAATTAATACAATTTTAGTTTGTAATTTCATTGGTTTTATTTTATTAAGTAATTTATTGTATTTTTTTAAACTGCCTCACAACTTATCAAACACAGCCTACTAAATTATTAAATTTATATTAATTTTAACTAAAATTTAATAAGGCAATATGCTTACATCAAAAAAAAAAAAAAATTCAGAAATAATTATTTGGGTATTAAATCAATGCAAATTTTATATAAGATAATGTAAATCTCTAAAATTGTGTTTTTATCGTAAATTGAGCATAATACACTATAAGTATAATATATCCTTAATAACTGATTAACCGAGTCTAATGCCACACTAATTAAACATAGTATTATTAATACTAAGTATTTATAAGTACTTATAATCAATGCTATTTTATAGGTTTAGTGTGTCTGTAATAGAGCTATATTTATTATTTAATTACTTAAAAAAATAACACCCTATAATAATGTAAGTAATGTAGGTATATTAAAATAGCTTAATTTATTGTCAAAGTGTAGTAAATATTTGATATATGTATCAACTATCTATATTCTACTACCCAACCAATTTCTATGTTTTAAAATATTTATAAATAATATTAATGTGGCTCTTTACTTAAGTACTATTTATTTTGAAAATTAGAAAGGCTTGTATACAGTTTTTAAATCATTATATAATTATTAAATGTTAATTAAAATAAAAACAGTTTCATGTTATTATATAATAATATTATAAATATTTTATAACCATTTGTGGTTTTTATTTAATTTAATTAAATTTTTTTTTTATTGCCAATGTTAAAGTTTAAAGTTTCTATGTAATTTGTTTTATAAGTTGTATTATTCAATTTAAGTGAAAATATTCCACATAATACACATTAACAATTAATTGTTGTCATATTTAAGTTCCTACTTTTATTAGGTATATGTAGATAGGTACCTATAATATAATTTACATAATTGACAAAGGGCATTTTTTATTTTTATTTGTTATCTATTCACGTCAAACACGCAGACTTTAAAATTCTTATCTATATTAGTTCAATTGATTTATTTTATTAATGTCGTGATAGAAAATGTTTTATAGTGTTGTACAGGCGCCTGGTACATAACTTTTGAACAACCAGGTAAACATGTCATGTATCAATTTATTCATTTAAAATAATGAATAATTATTATCTGGGTTATTAAAAACTAATACATAATATAATGCAGGTCATCAAGATATTCTTATTTAAAATAATGAGTAGGTATGTTTTCCTTAATATTTCAGTATTTTTTAGTAAACTGGAAACTCTATAGTTATGTATCTATAAATCTATTTATATTACTCATTACAAAATTTTTATTTATACATATAGTTGTAATCGTTGAGCTGTATTAATTTAGATAATGGAAGCCATTAAAAATAATAATTATTATAAGAAAAAAAAATATTATTATATTAATAAAGTAAAATAACTGAACTAAATAGTGTAATGTGTAAAATTGTTTTATTGTCTAACCAAGTACATCCATTAGTTTAGTATCTGTTTTTATATTGTAGTTTATATACGTGAAGAATCATAATATATTGTATAGTTAGGGATTTGAAGAACTGTGTCTATTGTATTGTATTCTCTAAGGCTTAGAGTCTTGGCGCCGTTTCGAAGGACAAAATTACACTTAGTTGTCTCCAGAAAGTTGGCGCCATTGATGATATGTAGGTACGCACCCCCGAGTGGCACCTTTATAGGTGTCTGTGTGTATATTATATATATATAAATAAATGTATGGAAAAAATATTTTTAACACAAAATACGGGTGAAAAATAATCTTTCAAGGAAATCTTGACATTGCAAATTAACAACTGGTTTAATACGTACGAAGAGAAAAAAAATATAAATATAATGTCAGTTAAATTGTCGGGCTCCACGGGGTCTAAGATTGGCGTCCGGAAAAGGAGTGGTTGTAGATCACCCACTGGAACCAGTTCAATAATAATATTTTTTGTAAATGTTAGTTCTTCCATACCTATTTATACTACCTTTATATAACCCTTGCTTCATGCATTGATATTGTTTATTTTATAGTTGCATTTGATCTTGTAGTTAACGTTCTTTGCGTGGTATGCTCGGTTTAAATTTAATTATAACATTATTTTCTATTCATCATTTGCGACCTTCTTTATTTCTGCAATTGTATTGATTTTACTAAGAGTTATTATAGATTGACAAAGTACGATTCAGGTAGAGACTGGTACAAGAAGAGCTTTAATTAATAATAAAATATATATATTTAACTTGAATAATAAATTAGTAATTTGTTTGGAGATATTAACGATATTGAAGAATTGTTACCAATAGGTGATTTTCTTATCATGTTATTCATGTTGTTTTAATCATTGTGAATTTTTAAATTCGCTTATTGTAGTAACTAATGTACAGATTTTAAGTTGTTTTTTTAATAAAAAAAAATTAACATTACGATCACTAATTAATAATCAATAATCATCGTATAGAAATTTATAAGTAAATATTTATTGGTATGAATTATAGATAAACTATAAGTTGAACAGTTCGATATATGTCTATTAATAGTTTATTTATGCTATGCATTTATTAGACTTTGCATAGTAGATTATATTTGTATTATCAATGAATGCTATTTTTCAATTCATATAGGTATATAGATATTAAACGTATACGTTTATCGAGATTTATCGAGCTAGATAGATAATTTGTTTTAGATAAAGAATTTTTCGGATTATAATTATTTAAAAAATAATGGTTAATGATGGTTTCACATTTAATTTTAATAAAGTCTCAAGATACAATTATCGAGTCAATTAAAATTAATTTTAATTCATTCTACTTAAAAAAAAGTTATCATTTATTATTCAGTTAATATTTTAAAATTTTTCTTATTAATCCTTAATAAATATAACAATGATTATGATAATGATATGCTTTGGACGTTTTGAGTTTTATGTTTTAATGATTTTATAAATATATATAAGCTAAGAAAAACTGTCGGGCAAAGCACATAGACAAAATACTGCAACTAATCAGTTATTATTTAAATTAATAATTACTTATGCGTGATAATATTATTATTATTATTTAGTATAGACGTATAAATTAATAAATTATAATCTATATTATATAGAAAATATAAAAATATATGTATATAGTATACAGCTAAGTTAACTATAAAAATGATTATTATTTAATAATATTTTTTAATTTTATTATTATTGCTTTTAAATAAGATCTAAATATTAAAATGTTATAATCTAAGATTGGTTTTTAATTTGAAAAAAATTTATTT